AAGTCTGGCAGCTAAAAACACATCAGAAATCTATGTTCTCACAGTTCTGCAAGCCAGAAGTCCACAATCGAGGTGTTGGCAGGCTGGTTCCTTTTCAAGGACTCAGAAGAATCCATTTCCTGGCTCTCCTTTGGCCTGGGGTTTTTGCCAACGAACTGTGGTACTCCTCAGCTCGCAGTGCTTAACTCCAGGCTTCATGTCTGTCATCAAATGGCCTGCCTTCCCTCCGAATGTGCTTCTCATCTTGTCTTTTTATTTCAGTATTTCTTCCTTTCTTATGGCTCATAAATCATTGGGTTAAGGAGCCATTCTAGTATAATCTTTCCCTAATTCACATTTTCATTATGTCTTCAAGTATCCTCTGTTCAATAGGGTCACATTCACATGTTTCAAGTCCTAGATCCTTCGTATTTCTTTCTGAGGAATACAGTATGTCCCCAGACTGGGTCCAAGCAACAGATGGAAAGTTAGGCTCACATCTTTTTTTACCTTTTTAAAAACTTACATTAGTTTGGGAGGCAGAAAAACAGAGATGAGAGGAGAGAAGGGGAAGAGAGGAGAGAGGGGGAAGAGAGGAGAGAAGGAGAAAGGAGAGGATGGAGCAGAGGCTCACTTGCTAAACGTCCAAAACCACAATGGTTAGGTCAGGATGAAACCAGGATCCAGGAACTTAATTCAGGTCTTCCATGCGTTTCAGGAACCCAATGATCTGAGCCATCACTTATTAGCAGAAGCTGGGACAGGAGTAGAGGCAAGACTGACACCAAGAGACTTCGATAGAAGAAGTGGGCATCTTCACTCTTACGCCAAATGCCTTTCTCATATATACGTTCATCTTATTGCAAAGCCAGATATACAGAGAGGAGTAAAGACGGAAAGGAAGATCTTATGTCCCTTGACTCACTCCTCAAGTGGCCACAACAGCCAGAGCTGAGCCAATCTGAAGCCAGGAACCCGGAGCCTCTTCCAGGTCTCCCACGTGGGTACAGATTCCCAAAGCTTTGGGCCACTCTTGAAAGCTTTCCCAAGCAACAGGGAGCTGGATGGGAAGTGGGGCTGCCAGGATTAGAACTGGTACCCATATGGGATCCTGGCACCTTCAAGGCAAGGACTTTAGCCACTAGGTTACCACACCGGGCCCTCTTGTATATACTTTTAAGAATTAAGTTTCGATCTTAAAATGTGCACCAGTTACATGCCAATACTCTATGTGCATTTAATCAAGACACTTGAACATCCTCATTTCTTCTTAGGTGCATGAGTATTAGAATCAATTCATTTGCATACCAAAGTTTTACTGTATTTGTCTTATAATTTATGGAAATTTATGTATCTCTCATGACCAACATTTGTCTCCTATACAGTTAGTCTAAAATGCATACTTTATGGATTTCAAGGCACTATTTTTCTTACTAATCAGAAGGTCAAATATAAAGTATAATTAGAAGTGAAAAGAAAAAAATACATGTTTTAAGAGATCGAGCATATTTTAAAAGTTTCTTTACCTAGATAAGAGCTCAAGAAATTGTTTTTAAATTATTCCAATTCTGGCCTATCCTTACTAGCTTTTCAGTTCTTTCCATGTTGACAATGAGTTGGTCAAACTCATGAAAATTTGTTGATTATCCTATTATCAGATTACAATCTGATTCTCCTCTTTAATAATAAATTGCGTATTTCTTATGTTACTAAAAGAAAGAACTTTCAATTATCCTCCTTTCCTGTCCCACAGGAAGACTTTCATTAAGAAAAGTTAAACACTGTGGCTTCCACCTAGCTCCTTCCTGGCTTTTTTGACCAGTTGGGAGTAAAGCAACAGGTGGAAGATGTGTCTATATCTTTCTCTCTCTCCTTCCTTCCTTCCTTCCTTCCCTCCAGCTGTAGGGATGCTACTTACATCTGCATATCTAGCATCAGTGTTGGAAATGTAGGTTAAAATTATTTAAGAATTTCCAAGTACTATAATAAACACATCCTAAAATATCTTCCACCTATTATTTTCCTTTTGTGTAATTATAAAAAGTTAGAAAATCTTCTAACTTTTCATGTCCTTCAGTTTCTATCAATCTCAATCGCTTCAATGGCAAAGTCTGTTTTGAAGTTTTTACTTCAAAGAGTAAGATTGCGCAAACTTCCGTCACCCATAAAAGGCAAGGTGAAGTTTTTATTTTATTGCCCTGTTGTTTTAAATCATGTTAAATGCCAGATACCACTATTTCTAGATAGAGAGGTGCTGCTCCTTGTAACCTAAGAAAGCAAATTCCAAATATAGGACAAAGTATTATGTGATGTTCATGTGCACGTACGTCTGGGTGAGATGTGTATGTACTCCATATATCTACATGCAAATGCTTTGTGTGTGTGCATATACACTTACTTGAATTTTTCATCCCCAATTGTGATCAAGAGTTGTAGCCCGTAATTGCATATACACCTCTGTATTCTTCATATGTATAAAGACAATACTAAAAGTGCAATATTACCAGCACATTTAAAATGAAGCACACAGGCTTTCCTATTCCAGATAGTGGTATGGATGATAAGAACGCTTTAATCATAAGTGAGAAACCACCGTAGATTCACTATAAACAGCAGCAGTGGCGTCTCTGAGGTTTACAGGGTAATCATGTTTCTGAGAGTGTAGGCATTTGTGAATTTTATGTATTCAAAATGCTGCAAGACTGAAGTCCAAATTTTGATAAATGGATTTCATACAAAACATATTTATTCTGCAATGTTAAAAAAATCAGGAATGACATGCTCAGTTTTATACCGTAGCATGACAAAACTGTATTTCTTCTAACTGCTTCATCTCTTTCCCTAACTGCAAATTAAACGCCAAGAATGCAGAACAAGATAATAGTTTATGATCTGAAAAGGAGCTAAATTCAGCCAAAGAGGCCTCCTAGTGCAGGGCTATGAACATCTTACATTTTTACTTTTTGTTATTATTATTGATTGATTGATTTTTGAAGAGTTTAGTGATATTAAATAACAAGTATTTGAACTCTATTTTTCCCCATCTCCTTTTTAAATTGGATTTTGTTCTGGGTTTTCATCTTCTCAACTGATTATTTTGTGAAATACCAAAAAGATAAAAGATATATGTAGGCTTATAGGATTTATCAGTGTGTCAGAGACATTTTTTTTCTATTACTTTCTTAGTTTTTTGTTTAATAAAATCTTTATAGTTAATGTCTTCTGTTTGAACATGAGCAGTACACTGTGTTATTTGGCTTGTTAGTGTGTTTTTGAAAGCAGTGAAAGAAAAAAGCATAATCCTGATTTAAGATAACATTTATAAATCAGCATCGAGAACATTCTGTCCACCTGCTGTGCATCACTTACTTTCTGACGGCATCTACACACACAGAAGTGGACAGAGCATACTTTGTCTCAATCAATGGCAACGCAGAAAGCCAAAGAAAGGATCCAGCCCACATGAAAACAAGAGTTCTATTCCATATGATCACGCATGTTTTCAAAAATAACTAGGTTTTAAATTTCCAGATTCTGTGTTGAATAGAGAAATCTAGAATGACTTAACATTCACGTCAAGCAGGAAGCTCCCAATACAACAGCTCTTCCTCTAGAATATATTTTTACGTAACAAAACCAACTATATAATACATGATTTCAACACAAATCGTATGTGATATTTTATGAAAACTTTTCATCAAGGCTGCCTTTCAGCTCTTTCTGGAGCAAAGCAAGATATCAGTAAGTCATTTCTTCTATCCAGATGATTGTTCTGATATTGAGAGCAAAACCTTCCTTTAAAAACAACTGACACATCACATCTACAAGAAGGATAAGCAGTTATAAACAGATTATTTGAATTCTGAGTCATTTCATTTGGCAATTACAGTAAATAAAATAGACAGATATATGCACAGTTCAAACACTTATAGGATAGAAATGTTTTTACTAAAATGTATGAGGTAAAAAAAAATGCATTGAAGAATTAAGCACAAATCATTGGAATCTCAATGTGCTTAACAGCTATGCCATAATCAAATATCTATGGGAAAAACTATTTGTTTCAGTGTGAAAATGAAGTGATGAAATAGAACAGTAAATAGCAAAAGAGAAAAAAATTATGACATACCTGTAAAAGATATCCATAAAATGAACATTCTACTTTAGCAACAGAAATACTCAAGTACTATTTGAACACTGTTTCTCACATATTTCAGACAAAACACAATCCCATTTTTCCTATCACATCCAAATGTCTAAACTGTGTTGTTATTTCATGCTCCAATTGCACAGAAATCTGGCAGAAATCACAGATTTGATCCAGAAAGGTTGAGTTTCCCACCTTTATGGGCCTTGATGGTTATTAAGCATTTATGCACACAGGTTCTACCTCTGCCTACTGTATCTAAATCTTCTAAGGTTTCCAGGATTATGGAAGAATTTTTTTCAAACATGCAATTTGTCATAAAAAGGCAGATTTTCTAATTACTTTATAGGATGTTGGTAGTTATAACTACCTTCCTATATGGAGGTTGGCTTAAGGGGACAACGTGTTGTAACAGGTGAAGCCTATGGACATAACTCATGTGGGGCCCTGTCTTTGAGTCTCAGGTCTGATCCAACTTGCTAGTAATGTGCCTGGGAAAGCAGTGGTAGATGTCCCAAGTGCTTGGGACTTAGTACCCACATGTGACACCTGGACGGATCTCCTGGCTCCGACCTTCAGTTTGGCTGAGCCTTGATCACTTGAGCGATTTGTGGAGAGAGAGTGTATCAACAGATGGAAGAACGCTCTCTCTCTCTCTTTCCCTCCCTCCCTCCATCTCTCTCTCTCTCTCTCTTTTTTGCTATGCCTCTCAAATAAATAAAAAAATATAAAAATTATATATATATATATTTAATGATTAGGTAAACAGAGCAGTGATTCTGTCTTCTGTTATTTTTAACTGCTTGGTCTACTGTAAAATGGCAAAAAAAATTTCAAAGTTTCTATGTGTCAAGTGTTCAGGTAATGTACTTACTACAATTTTCAGCTTTCCTGTTGTCGCGGATCACTATGCGTTGGTTGATTGTGCTGAAAAGGGTTGTCCAATTAATGGTATGATAGTAACAGAGGTTGCTGTTGTCAGTGATATAGATGTTTCCAGCACTGATTTCCTTCAGAGACTGAAACTGTAGAGAGGTGATGCCCTGTTGCTTGAGAATAAGCAGGGAGAGGCCACTAAGAGAAAAGGAGAAAGCAAAGAATGGAACAATAATAAATAATTTCTGGCCATGAGATGCAAGAAGAATGCTACCACAGCATAAATGGTGATGGAATTAATACATGTGTACTCAGAACGTTTTTTTCTTTACATATTATATACAGTTTTAAAGAATGATGATTGATTTCCTAAAAGGAGAATGTCCATTTTCTGAAGTTATGCATATTGATGATATTTCTATCTCTGCTGAGATACTTAACACTAAAATATCTACTCATCCCTTCCTTCGCAATCCTAAATTTTATACTACTGAAAAACCAGATTTTCTATTAAGACTACATAATACGTAGGATAATCATTCACATAAATTGACTTCTATAACTTTCAGAAATAAGATCTTCATGAAGATTAAATATGAGATAACCCTATGAAGGAATGGCTTAGTTAAAATAAAAAAAAGGTAGGTTTTCATCATGTGAGTCTAACATGAGGTGTTAAGATTTTACACAGTATTTTGCTCTGTTTTTGTCCATCTATTGGTCAGTATGGCATGGACAGTTGTGAATTAATTTCTGAAATATCAATCCTATTAATTTTGTGAAATTATAGCATCAGAAGCAAAAACAAAACCTCCTGGTAGAAGACTATATCATATGCAACTAAGCCATTACCAAATCACTCAAAGTTACCTTCTATTATGATAACACAGGATCCAAAAATAAAGCTCAGTTTTCTGATCTACCTCATTCATTCCATACCTGCAGAACACTATTATGGAAACTGAGAAGTAGCTGAAAGATAAAAATATATATTCTACTTCACATCATTATCAGAGGTATCCTCATTACGTTTATCTTTAACAACACAAACTTGCTGTTCTCTAAATCTGTAAATCATTAGGACTGAAATTTTTACATACTGTACTTAAGCAGTGGAGTTTTGCTGTTTTTCATATACACACCCACCTGTAGAGCACTCTTCCACCAATGGTGACCAAGTTGGAGAAAACACTGAAGTCGGTCATGTTTGGTGGCCATGATTGTATGTTCAAGAAGCCTGCAAGTCATAAGGACAGGAACAATAAATCAGAACATTATCATTAGTAGTAACGGTGGTGATTATCCTTGAAATAAGATAAAAACACGCTGAGCAGTAGAAAATAAGAAAAAGACAGTGAACATATTGTTTTTTAAAGCAATCCATTACATCCTTCAAGGATTAGATGTTATAATTTCTTGGCCATAGTATTCAAGAATAGTTGTTATAAAAACAATAAACACATTACTGGCCTTGCGTCTTAGCGCATTAAGTCACTGCCTGCAATACTAGCACCTCATAAGGGCACTGGCTCCTGTCACATTTCCCACCAAGCTCCTTGGTCATAGCCTGGGAGAAGCAGTGGAAGATGACCCTGGTGCTTGAATCCTTGCTACGCATGTAGGAGACTTGGAGGTAGCATCTGCTGGATTCTGGTTGCTGGCTTGAGCCAGGGGTATGGCCATCTAAAGAGTAATCAATTGTCGTAAAACAGGTGTTTTGGATATATTCCTAGGAGTGCTATTGCTGGGTCATATGGTATGCAGATTTTGAGTTGTTTGAGTGTTCTCCAGACTGATTTCCATAAAGGCTGTACCAATTTGCAGCTCCACCAGCAGTGGAGTAGGGTTCCCTTTTCCCCGCATCCTCGCCAGCAAGCGTCGTTGGTGTTCTTGTTTATGTGGGCCAATCTTACTGGTGTTAGGTGGTACCTCATCGATGTTTTAATTTGGATTTCCCTTATTGCTAGGGAGCTGGAACATTTTTTCATATGTTTGTTTGCCATTTGGACTTGTTCCTTTGTGAAATGTTTGCCCATTTCCCGTGCCCATTTCTTGAGTGGTTTGTTTGTTTTGGTTTTTTGGTTGTTTTGAAGTTCTTTGTATATCCTGGAAATTAGCCCCCTATCGCCTATATCGTGTGCAAAGATCTTCTCCCAATCTGTGGGTTGCTTTTTTACTTTGTTGATTGTTTCCCTTGCTGTACAGAAGCTTCTTAGTTTGATGAGGTCCCATTTGTTTATTCTGTTCTCAACTGCTATTGCTTTTGGTGTCCTTCTTAGAAAGTCGGAGTATCCAAAACACCTGTTTTACGACAAACCAACATGCATCCCTATGTTCATTGCAGCACAATCAGTAATTGCAAAAACATGGAAGCAACCGAAATGCCCATCAGCAGAAGATTGGATAAGAAAGCTTTGGTTCATCTACTCCATGGAATACTACTCAGCTATTAAAAAAAACAAAATGCAGTTCTTTGTGGCTAAATGGGCACAACTGGAAACTATAATGCTAAGGGAAATGAGTGAATCCCAAAAGATTAGATACCACATGTTTGCCTTGATTTAACCTGTAATTTTTTGTTTGGTTGTTGGTTATTTTCTGAACCTGTCATTGATACTGTCTCAACCCAGATGTTTCGAAGAATGGAACTTGCATTATTTTTAACATATTGTCTACCCATTACTATGTCAATTAATTCCATAATGTTGTATATTGACACTGAGGCCTTGTTGGGGCTTTTAACTGACCGGATCTCTACCCTGTTAGACCTATCTTCAGACCATAGAAGGTCTCCCCAAGAGGCCACTGAACTTATCTGGACAATAAGACGCTGAACTTTATGCTAGGCATGTGTTTGCAAGCAATGAATCTCAACTGAACTTGAACTATGGTTATGCAACAAGGTGGAGGAATCCACCATGGGGGGAGGGTTATGGGAGGGGTGGGGGGAATCCCCAGCGCCTATAAAACTGTACTACATAATATAATGTAAGCAACAATAAAAAAAAAAAATAAAAAAAAAAAATAAAAAAATAAAGAGTAATCAATTAACGTTACCCATGCTCAATAGTACTGCTTGTGTAAAAGCAAACATAATAAGCATGACTTCACTAAGGCTGGTGTTGTAATCATATTAAATTGTCACAAGCAGTACCAGCATCTCCGATGAGTGCTGGTCCCTGTCCTGTCTATGTGACTTCTGATCCAGCTGCCTACTACTGCATCTTGGAAAGCATGGGAAGACAGGAGGAGTGCTTGCGTCCCAGCTACCCACACTGAAGACTCAGTTGGAATTCTAAGATCCTGCTTTGGCTTGGTCCAGCCCCAACCACTTTGGATGTTGAGGCAGCAGACCAGCAGTTGGAAGATGACATCTTTCCTGTCTCTCCCTCTCTTTCTCTCTGTAACAGCACCTTTTTAATAAGTAAGTAAGTAGATAAGTATATTAATGAATCTTAAAAATAGCAACAAAAATATGTTACAAGGTCAGTTCATAGCTGCAAAAATAGCAGCATCAAAATTATAAAGATATTTGATTTGCAATTCCATTGGCTTTCAAATTATGCACCAAAGTTAAAGAGTAGGATATCCACTTTCAGAATTATATGCAATTTTACAAACTAGACTTTGCTTTGAAATGGATTGTTCAATTCAATATCACATATTGCTTTCAAGAGAACACACAAATTTGCATAATTCCTAATATTGTGATTACACTTCTAAAGATTACCTGTTATTTCTCTGACAGTCCGGAAGACATTCAGTTTCTCTGGGTCTATAGCTTCAATTGCATTGTAAGGATCCCTAGGAAATCAAACATGGATTTAGCCAAATTCATGTAAGAAATATGACAATCAATATTTTATCCAAATTGAATTTTAAGCAGCAACAGCAAAGTTAAGTCTGTGTTGTCCACATTGTCCTATGTCAGACATGAAGAACTGACAGGCAGCTTTGGAAAATGTTTGAGTCCACAAAATACTATGTCTTCAAATATTCTTCTAGGTTACAGCGACAATTTAGTTTCAGCTATTGTACAGGAACTTTCAGAGACTATAAATCTATCTATGAACCATTTTGATTAATTTGCTTCTGAATGATTATTGACTAGCAAGTACATATTCTGAGAGTAAACTATGGTGAGAAGTAGTCGATTCGGGTTCCTGAAAAAAAGTCTAAATTATACTCTGAGGTCATAAAAAGGATTGAAATAAATACAGATAAAGTTAACACTTTCTTATCTCCAAATTCATCTATTTATGAATTTTGATCATGTTATTACAGCGTTGTGCAAAACCTGGTTCTCATAGGGACTATTTATAATAATCTTGGTCCCATCTAGCTTATTTATACTTAGTTTTATATCATAGAGACTATGTAGCCATTATAATAACATTTTAAAAAACTATAGCAAATTTTATAATGCTAATAAGGTGGTGTTCTTTTCGGATTTTTAAAATATTGTCTCTAAACTCATAAAATATTTTAATAAAGTACATTGATAGAGATCAGTGTAATATAGAAAGGAACATAAAGTAACTTTTAAATTTAAAAATTGAATGATTTTATCCATTTCAAACTTCATAAAATACTTCTCTGGTACAATATATGGAAATATTTGAACACTTGAATATTATACAAAACCAACACATAATCCAATTTCCATGGCAATTCAAACTACACTTTGAGGTTCTGGTGTTTATGAACCAATGTATTTCAGATCCAGAGACACACTGAAAAAGACAAACAAGCTCCCTTAGCTTTTTCCCCCTTCTGTGTCCAACGCTTGGAGTTGAAATTCAATCCAAGACTTGTGCGCTAGTCATGGGATCCCAAGATCGTGAGCCATCATCTGTCTCCCAGTGTCCACAGCAGCAGGAACCTGAAAGCTGCATCCAAGTGAAGCCAGGTACTCCAATACGGGAGGCTGGTTTCCTACGCACATCCTAAGCAGCACATGAATTTATTCCTGTCTGTAGCTATCACATGAATTTATTCCTGCCATGGGTAACTGTTTTGTAACCAATCTCTTACAACCTTCTTTTTCTTTGGGAAATAATAACTAGGGTACACTTATTAATAATCGATAAGGTTATCAGTCAAGGAATACCACATTCCCCTGAACAAGCAGACAGGTTTATGGCTTATCTCCTGGGAATCTTAACCTGAAATTTAGCATTTTGTCATTCCAGCATTTGAACATTAAAAATAATTATTAGTTCTGCAATTTTCATCTCTGGAACCACCTTGCATTGGATTTCTGGGTTGACTCAACATATGCTTCTATAGTGAAAAGCACCCCACATCTCAAAAAAAAAAAAAAACTGGTTGATTAAATTACAGCTTCATGCTATGACGTGCAATCAGTATGATGCACTACATGAAGTGCTACCAAAGATTCAAACATAGATATTGCCGAGATTAGACACACAGTATAAATGCATTTTCTAATTCATATGTAAAATACTGATCAGAATTTTCTCAATGCCACAGAAATCTCTCTATACAACTTCCAGTAAATGAACCAGAAAATCTATTTGTAAGTAAAGAAATACAAAATGGATAGCTATGTTTTTGATGAATAGTATATCCTAAAATTCAGTGTATAATGTGAGAAAACCTTTGCTATCTTCACATGTTAGTGTACAAAGATCTTCATAAGAGGAATTATAAGTTCCACAGTATCAGAGCTAGCTTTCTGAATTTGTTGTTCTGATGAAAAGCAGTGTATCGGAGCTCCCTGGTCATCTAACTAAATATTGTGACTTCACTGAGGAAGACTCAAAAATCACAACAAGCACATAATAACTGGGTCATTCCAAAGTTTTCCCGAGAAAGTTCCAAGTTACCAGGAATGAAATGAATTCTGGACTTCAACATGAAGCCTAGTGGACCACAGAAATTTTATACACTTAATTTTCAAGATTTAGGACTCTCGTAAAATAAGCAGACAATTCCACTCATAGCTTTAAAATACCTCTTGGGAGTTCACCCTACAGCCACACGGAATCCATAGTACCTTAAAATCAAAACCTTCCCTATCTGGACTCACAGCTAAAAATGTCATGGGTACCTTGTTACTGTGTTCTGTGATCTATATATCAAATTCAGGTTTCTGTGAGAGAAACATATTTTTAAATTACCACTGAAACCGCATTTTATCACCAGACCTATTTTCTCTTCCACGGTCTTTCATCATTGCCATCTATAATGTAAGTTAGCCTTACCTTGCAAATTTCTCATTGTGACACAACCTCAACGTGCCTATTTAGTTAGCATCTCATTACTATAAACACCTGCAAAGGAACTGTTTCAGACATGACAAAACATGAAAGGGGACTATTCCCATACACAACCAGAAGCACTAAGCTTTCCATGCGTTTCTCCTTCTAAACTGGGAACAAATGCCTGTTTCTATTGGACAATGGGACTACTTTGCTATGAACTGATTATGAAAATTAACTGTCTTGAGTCCTTTTATTTATTAAAATTTTAAATGAATATTTCCTGGTAAAATTACTTCTTGAAGACTCTTCTGTTTAATTATAATTGCTGTCGTTTCATTAGTTTAAACAAATATCTCCGCTATTTTAATAAAGCTATACACTACTACTAAAAACTAGTTTGTAAAATACTTGAGATAACGAGGAAGTTATGTGAAAGAAAAGATTCCTCTGGTTCGCTAGTTTTCTGTTTATTATGCCCTATATTATTCATCCTTAAAAATCCTTCTCCCTCTTTTTTCCACCTTCATATATTATATGTACCAAAATATTTACATTTTAAGTATTACAAAAAAGTACATATATTTACTACATATACTTGACTATATACCTATGTGTATAGATGAATGCATACATATGTGTGTGTGTGAGTGTGTGTGAGAGTGTGTGTGTGTGTGTGTGTGTGTGTGTGTGTGTGTGTGTGTGTGTGTATGGTGACCACTGAATTAACTTCATAGTCCAGAATGAAAAGATACAGAATATGTTTCATATTAGAGATTGAGGGTATCGATGCTTGGTTTCTATGGTTTATTTATCTTGGAAAATGCTTTATACATTGAAAGACAATATTAACTTCACATACTCCAGATTTAAGTGCTCTGGTTAATAATGCATAGTCATATGAACTAAGAAGTATGGTCTGTATTAAAGGAAGCTTTATTGGGGTTCCAAAATAGTCTATAAAAGAGTATGGTATGTTTATAAAAGATTATATGTTGTACACTGAGATGTGCAAAAACCAGACATGGTCAACAATCATTTTCTTTTCTACTGCCTTCTCCTGCATCGATTTTCATTACTTTTCATTTTCTTGGCTTTCTCTTTCCTTTAATCCCTCTTTCTTTTTTACACCAATTATTAAGGTATTAGAACTGCTTTGATACATTCAAAATACATTTCATCATGAAGTCAGCTTGTATAAACTAAAATTGAAATGTCAATGAAGTAGTCGCAGGATGTTGTTAAGATATATGTTGTTAACATATCGATTACTCAATATCATGTCAATTAATTCCATAATGTTGTAAATTGTTGTTGATGTTGTGCTGGGGCTTCTAATTGATCGGGATGATATTCTGCCAGCTCTACCTTTAGACCAGAGAAGGTCTCCCCAAGAAACTGTTGAATTGATCTGGACAATAAGATGCTGGACTCTGCATGGTACATGCTTGCAAAGAAAGAATCATGACTGGATTTGAACTGTAATACTACAACAAGGTGGGGGAATCCACCATGGGGGGAGGGCATGGGGAATCCCAGAGCTTATGAAACTATATCATAAAATGAAATGAAATTTTAAAGTAAAGAAAAAGAAAAAAAAATAAAGTTATCCAAATCCAAAAATAAAAAATTCATTGAGCTGGTGCTTGCAACTCCAGCATCCCACATGGGCATTGGGTTGATTCCAAGTTGGTACACTGCTGATCCAACTTCCTGCTAGTGGCCTGAGAAAAGCAGTAAATGATGGCTCCAGTGCCTGGTTCAGACCCTGCCACATGGCCATATGAACAGTGAACAAAAAGATGGAAGGCTTATTCTCCTTATCCAAGGTACTTTCAAATCAATAAAATGAATAATTAAACTTACTATTGTTTGCCACAATAGTCAGAGGAAATAGGTACTTTTCATTTAGTCATATCTCATTTTTTAACTGGAGAAACTCTGACATCAAAAGATTGCCACTCAGTCTTTTGAGTTTCAATAGAAACAATCCATGGTAGAGATATAAACCAAATCATATTCTAGCTTACATCAAATTACCCAAGTAGAAAGTCCAGTTCTTATTTTCAGAGTGTATTGTTAAGGCAAAGAAGGTTTTTACTTCTGATCCATGTAAATTGATTCTCTGTAAATCACATCTTTTTAAAATTATTATTTTATTTTTTTCGATGATTTTTACATAGTTGACTAGAGTGATTGGGGTCAAGGGCTACAAGAGGGTGGGTGAGATCATCATTTCCACATCCTCTTTTTTTCCTTCCTGTGTCTGGAGAAAAGGGAGATAGAAGGATAGAAGATACCTAGCCTCCCAACTGCCTCAGTACCCTGGGATGGAGGGCAGCCAGCTGACATCACCCAAGGTTCCCTGATGTAGGGCACACTTTGAGGGTCCTTCTCATGAAGTTTTGATAGTTCAACAGTTCTGAATTACTGCCAATCTCACCACTCCACGCACGATGAAATCTCCCCACAATCCACTGGTCCACCTTAGACTCTCCTTTTGCCCAGTTACTCACTGCCAACACTTGGCTGGAGCAGCTCACTGGTTTGTTCTGTCCTCTATCCTCTGTTGTGTTACCA